TTAACGAGCGAGCGCTCGTCCCGATGAAAGCGTCGAGTTTATCACGACGATTCGGCGATCGTTTGTCGGCTTAATCGCTCGGCCGCGCCGAGACGCCGTCGGTTCGCTTCCTCCCGCCCTTCTCGTCGAGCTTCATCATCATCCCTCGACGGGGAAAAAGCCCAGAGTCCGGAAATGAACGATACATTTGCTCGCATTTCAACACATGGCATCTCTTCGGCATCGCGCGTCGTCGCAGAGCACCGCTTGCTTTCGTCATTACGACTGTTCCGTATAGCTCGCGGTCGCTCTGATAATTATTACTCCTGCCCCCCCCCCACCTCTCTCTTTTTGATGCTGGTTTTTTGTTCCCCCCGTTCCCCGACGGGATTGAAAAATCGGCGCGCACGTGGTCCCAGGCTCGACGCAACACGCGGCGGGGAGAGGGGAGGCTCGCACGAGGGTGCGAGGGCGGCCGGTTTGTTTGTAATTGCAATCTCTGGCCGCGACAGGATGGACCCGCGGTGGACGTCGGCGTGTAAAAGGTAAGTATTAATCAGCGGCGCGCGCGGTCGCAACGGCGGAGGGGGAGGGGGGCAGAGGGGAGAACGACGACGGACGGAGGACGGACGGGCAGCGGATCGACGGGCGAAATTAATATACACCGGGAGCGTGTTTGCGGCGCGCATCGGCGCGGATTTTAGGACGCGGATTTTAGCGTACGCTCCGGATTACGGCGGCGCGGCGGATGTGGATTACGGGCCGCGAGAGCGCGGGTCGTTAAACAGCCGGGACCCGACATGAGGATAAAGTCCCGCCGATACGACGCTCGAACCTTATTATCTCTCCGTTCAACGCTCCGTGGAACTCTCCTGAGCTCACCCCCTCCCCCGCCGCCGTCCCCGTCTCGGGAGCGGCGCGCGATTCGCGGGGAGATTCGCAGCGGGCGAGCCACCGGTTATTATTGGGGATCCGGGGCATTAAAGGCGCTTTGGGAGGGTATCGATCTTCTTATTCAGCCTCACCCTAACGTCATACTTAAATACAATATTTCGGCCGGCGCGTAATCCTCTTACGGAAGCATCCCCGCATTCGGCCGCCGCTACGCGGAAGCCGACGCGGCGGGCGGCGGCGGTCGATGTTGTTTCTTATTGCGACCGGCGATTATATTTGTGCGCGAGGGTAATTATGTGCGCGCACGCGCGCTCCACTAATCCGTAACCGTGAAAGCGCGTGCGGTTTACGCGCGACGTCTCGGCGAGCGTGTAATCCTCCCGCGCGAGTCGAGTGGCTGTCACTCGACTGCACCGCCGCGCGGCCGGAGCCGACGAGGACGACGACGGCGACCACCGCCGATGTGACGCGACGTGACGATAAACGGCTTGTTTGTGCACCGATGCGAGCGCAAAGGTTGATTTCCTCGATCCATCGCGCGCCGGCGACTTCTGCTCGCTCGCTGCCGAGTGAACGAGTAATCTTCAGGTGGGACTTTACTCGCAGTGGAGTTTTCGTTCGTTGTTGATACTCGTAAGTACGTCCTTAGCTCTCGCGGGAAGCGTCAAATATAACAGAATGTCTGCGTAAATAGGCGGGCATGAGAGAGAGTGAGTGAGAGAGAGAGAGAGAGAGAGAGAGAGAGAGAGAGAGAGAGAGAGAGAGAGAGAGAGAGAGAGAGAGAGAGAGAGAGAGTGAGAGAGAGAGACGAAAAGACAATTTTCCGCAGATGTCGCGCTTCAGGGCTTCGAGACTTCTCCATTCGCTCGTGTCACAAGACGATTTTTCTCCTCAAGTAGAAAAATTAATAGGGCTCTGGTAAGAGCTTGATTATTTTTCTTTAACATTAATTGGGCCCTAGGATAGAAAGACAAGGGCCTATAAGATACGTAACAAATGATTTAACAGGTCCTTATAAGGCAATATTAATATTGTCTTACATGGAAATATTTTTATTATTGCTTGAGTAAAAATATTCGTTCTTTTCATTCCAAGAAATTCAGACTGCAATTTCTTTATTTCTTTATAATCTTGTTAGGATACAACAAGAATTTTTTATTTTAAAAATATAGCATGCTTCACAATAAAATATATTTTTTACACATAAAACTCCTGCTATTGTTTATTAAGGTTTGCCGCATTTCAAAACAAAGGCAATATTAGAAAAGATTCATGAATATGACAACTAATAAAACTAATAAAATTTGTTTTTAGTTGTGGTATAATTAAAAAAATCTTTAAAAGAACCGGATAGAGCGTATCTACTAAAACAATACTAAACTATGACAATTTTATTACGCGCTTCAGATCTTATTAATTTTCTATAACAAAACTTGATTTTGTATATCTAAAGCATCCTCAAAAAATCCTTTTCAGACCCACATCGGTTTTCCTTATCAAAGGCTTATTTCGTAAAATCTAAAGTATCCCTAAAAATCCTTCTAAGGCCCTTCTCAGCTTTTCTGATCAAAGCCTTATTTCGTAAAATCTAAGGTATCTCTAAAAGATCCTAGGATCCTTGTCAGTTTTCCCCATCAAAGCCTATTATTTATTAAATCTAAGGCGCCTCTAATAAATCCTTCTAAGGCCCTCATCAGTTTTCTTTATCAAAGCCTTATTTCGTGAAATCTAAAGTATCCATCTCTCGAGGCCTGATGTGATAATAATGAGGCATCCCTTTTTAGGGCACCTTACTTTCAGTCTTATCGGGGCCTTATGCTTCGTGAGGATGGCCCTAATAATTTTTCGTTCGGGCATGATCGGTCCGTCGATTTGAGTGCGCGATTCTTCGATTACCGTTCTCCGCGCGAGATTCCTCTTCGCGGGCAACGAGCGGAACGGAAAGAAAGATTCCGACGATGAACGAAACGCTCACGGGTGACAATCTATCATTCGTGAATACGCGCGGCGCGCGCGTAATAACGAGCGCGCGCACGTTTTATTTTATTTTCCGACGCCGCGCCGACGCCGGTCGACGGCACTTCATTAGCAATTAATTCGACGTACGACCGATCGATTAACAAAACCAATTTAATCGGCACTCGGCGCGCGGATGACCAGTTCTATTAATTGGCGGAATAATCGGATCACGGGGGATTGCCGGATAACAGTCTGCTCGCAACGTATTACTTTCGATAATAAGCACCATTATCGTGCGTCGAATCTATATCTTATTACCGCGGAGTAACTCGGTTGCCCATGACTGAACACACGTGAATGATCAGCAAACAAAGAAGGGGAATGATGCGCACGTGTGCGACACACACGTTGCATACTCTCTCTCTCTCTCTCTCTCTCTCTCTCTCTCTCTCTCTCTCTCTCTCTCTCTCTCTCTCTCTCTTCCTGTCCCTTTCTCTCTATCGACCTGACGAGAACCCAATCGGACAGAAAGAGGGAGAGATAGATAGATAGATAGAGAGAGAGAGAGAGAGAGAGAGAGAGAGAGAGAGAGAGAGAAAGAGAGAGAGAGAGAAACCAACAACTGACAACAATACTGTCCGCTTAACGTCTCGAATTAGGTATCGATCGTTCTCCAATTAGCAGCGGTTAAAAAACGCAGCAGCCATGCCGCTAATTGAGTCACGGGGATATGGCTAATAAAATAATAATGGGGGAATGGTGAAATTCTACAGCTCGCACGACGGTGTAACGTGCACTTTAACGGGACCTTAATTGCGAGGACATGGAGTATAATTAGCGTGAGATATCGAGATGGGAGATCGCGAAGAAGCAGAAGAGAGTCTCCCATCGGCGATATGTATTTCCGATCCATCCTGCTCCTCTCCTCTCTTTCCTTTTCCGAGGACGTGCAGGGACCGCGAGGACTCCGCGCGGTCGATGCGTGTTGAGTCGAACGAAACGAAACGCAGAATCTTTATTAATGGCGACCGGGCGGGTCTTGAGGAAAAAGCGGGTGGCGGCGTGCGTGCGTGCGTGCGTGCGTGCGTGCGTGCGCGCATGCGTGTGTAATTACCATCGGCTTCAATTACAGCGAGAATCTAAATTAATTTCGCGGGCTGCGCCGCTCTGCATTCCGCCGTGGCCGTTGCCGTATTAATCGTTGCGCGAATGATCGATTATTAGGCACTCGCGAGAGCGGCTGAATCATTTATTAGTAACGAGAATGGTAAAGGTTTCCCGCCGCGGCGGATCCGGCCTGAAGGGAAACGAATGTACCGGCAGTTATTAATTACGCGGTCGCGGCTGTAAATAATTCCCATCGGGCGGATCGGCCGGCCGTTTGAGTCGCAAGAATGGCGCGCGTTTTGGTATCGTAATACATTATCATAGACAATATTGACGAGCGGCCAGTCTGTGGATTACGGCCGCACGCTGTTGCCAAGTTTAATTAAAGCTATGATATCTAGCTCGGCTACACCGCGCCCGCCGACAAGCAATTCGTCCCAATTGCATCACTGCGCTCTGGCCATAATAAGCGTATCGCGCTCCATTTCATTGAGCCGCGTGCCACTTTTGTACGAGCGCGTCACTTCGGCGCGCCCGATCGCGAATATCGCGAATCGCGCGCTCGGTATCAACGACCGCGCGCTGCTCTCTCCTCGCGGCGGAGTCGTGAGAGGAGAGGCAACGTTTCCACGCGCCACATAGTCGAGAATAAAGTCGCTCGGGGGTGACCGAGATCCGTCAGTTTCGCGCTAATTCCGCGCCTCGATCCCGCGTTCCCGAAGTTTCGACAAGCGAAGGACGAGCGAGGCAAAGGGCGAGCTATTTTAAGAAGCGAAGCTACTCGGCTCATCGATTGCCTGACAATCATTTCCACTTCGCTCCGTCCCTCCGCTCTGCCCCTCCCCCTCTCTCTCTCTCTCTCGGTACTCACCCTTTTTCGCCGGCTCCTCGAAATATCGCCGGGCGCGGAAGATGTAAATCTGACGGCGAGTAATCCGCAACAGTTTGACGTGGAGGAAGTTAAAGAGCAACGACGGGCGAGTTTGCGCGTCCGCGAGATACTTCACGCGGAAATGACGAGGGATCGCGCCGGCGGCCGGGGAGGGAAGCACTCGACTTACCGTAGAACCAGCACTGTTTCTCGCCGAAGCGGGGCCTGAGGTACGTGTATTGAGGCTGCGGCGGGAGATGGTCGAGAAGAGCTGCCAGCCCGGCGACCAAGAAAGGTCCACCCCAAGCGTAACAGCCGTAGACCCGAAGCCGGAGGGTCTCCTGGCCTTTCTCCAGGCTCACCGGTCTCAGATCCCTGAAAAGAAAGGCGAAGAGAAAGGATTAGAGGTCGCCGTCTCGATGGAGAACGCGACACGCCGCGAGGTAAAACACACCGGGCGACTGCGTGCCCGAGAGCGGATATGGGTGCGTTCGCTCCCTTTTTCCCACGCTTTTCTCCATCGCATCGCGGCGGATGAATGGCCGAAAGAAAGAGCCACTCGGCAGCCGGCGCGGCGGGCTGCTCGCTCGCGGAACATACGAATGCGCGTCCGGCGCATCCCCGACTCGTCGAGGACAATCGCGTATAAACCCTCAAACGCTGGGCTGGGCTGAGGTGGAAGATCCACCCGATGATATTTTTTAACCATCCGTCTGTGTGATGTCTTGGACCTTTTGTGCTCGAATAAAGGACGTTTTGCTTTTCTTACGGCGGAAAGTTGTTGCGAAAGGGTTGGGAAGTAACTCGTTACTCGTAACGAAGTTACAGTTACCTTTTTTTGGTAATGTATAACTTTGTTCCGTTTTTTGTCATCTGTAACTATAACTTAGCTATAACTGTAACTATAACTTAGTTACATTTGTTTGATAACTGGTAACTAATTTAATAGTTATTGTATATATTTCAAACTTCAGTTTCTGGAGGATCAGCATAACGATAACGCACGTGCGATGCTTGATATGCAATAAGCATACAGTTATTCTGGCTGCATTTGGAATACGCGCTATTGTGTCATCTATTTTTATCGTTTATTAGATGTAAAACAAGGATAAAATCAGCGCAATAGCGCTGATAGTCTCCTCTCCGAACGCAACGTGTATTTCTTTCAAAAAAATTGTGCGCCTATTGGACATTTCCGTCGCGGATCGCCAGTCCTTATTTGTTAATATAACCCGCGTTCGGCGCAGTTTAGTGAAGAAATCTAATTTTTGATGTCAAGATTACTTTTAGTATTTTTAGTACTTATTATTCTCATCAAATTCACCCACTTCCTTATAATTGTTATTAATAGTCTTAAAGAATAAATATGAATTGCTTATTTAAATGAATGAATCTAATTTGTAAAAATTTTATACAATATGAGGAATATAATAATCAACAAACTACTTTTATATAAAATTGAAGGAATCTATGCAATTACGGAATTTAAAATATTGGCACAATTCTTGTAAAAAAGTAACTGAAAAGTAACTACTCGTTATTTTCTAACTATAACTATATGTTATTTTTGAAGGTCAGTAACTTGTAACTGTAACTAGTTACTTTTTCAGTGAAAAAAAATTGCAACTGTAACTGGATACTTTTACAAAGTAACTTTCCCAATCCTGATTATTTTCCCTTTAAAAAAATGTATACGATTTAAAACCGTTTTTCACACGCAGTTGCAAATTTTTGCCAAATATCTATAATTCATTTACATTCGGAAAAAAATTGTGGGTGAAAATTCAGCCAACAGAAGTATTCTAATGTTGAGTAAATTGCGTCTTCGTTTGTACGCGCGCGAAACAAAGACACACTCACCGGGTGTCTCGGCGTCATCATTATTCACTCAACGGACCCAACGATATATTTGCGGACACAAGAGTCGCGCGATACGCCATCGAGGATCATCGTACGATGGAGCGATACTTTTGTTCAAGCCGGAGTCATCGATCGGCGCTATCTGTTTCGCTTATGCAGAAATAATAGCGGACCGGAATAATTATCCCGCTCGTAACAATGTAATGTTTGCGTCGGCCGGTAAGAACACAATAGAGCCACGTGTATGTCATCGGCGTCATCGATCACGGTGGCCTCGTAATTATTAACGAGACCACGTCGGCTGCGTGAGAATCCCGCGCTCGTTCACTCGTAACTCGGACTAAATCGTACAGCTTTGTCATTGTCCGGCTAGTTGAACGTCGCTATAACGACACTCGCGGCTGGGAGATGAACGCTCGGGCTTAGCACCGTGAGGGGCCGCTACTCGTAAATCGCAGCCTATCGATATCGCAGCGTTCCCGCGGACACACACACACACACACGGCAAACATCGGCTACCGTGAACGAGCGTGTCGAGCGAAAAAGTCGATGAGGGCGAGGAAAAGTTAGTTGAAATACAAATTGCGACCGCGTCGCGACGTCGTGCGGATTTCCCTCGCACTTTTAATCGCTCCCTGGCAGCGGAAGTCGCGACGCGACAAGTCGGACAAGTGAGACAAACTATGCCGGTAATCAAGCGGTCCCGTGATCATTTTTCATCAATAATTAGCAGATATTAATAATCAATTTTTGTTGGAAATACATTAATGAATGAGTAACGACGCAACGATAAATAATTCCGACGAGCAGACGCGCATCGCGAATCTGCGAATAAACACATCATGAATCTTGAAAGCGCATTCGCTATAGCGAAAACTATTCCATGGTGTGTGTGTGTGTGTGTGTGTGTGTGCGTGTGTGTATTATTTTTTTACACTTTCAATGTGTATTCAGCAAGGCAAGGCGGGAAAGGACGGGAGAGGACGATCGAGCGGTACTTCCCTACATTGTGCGAATGCTTGTAATGCGCCTCTTGTTAGCGTAATTCTTTTCAACGCGTGTAATTTTATATAATTCGCGATTCACGGGGAGAATAAAAATGTAGTTACATTAGTGAGAGCTTTGTAACTAGAGCGACATGAGTCGGCGCGCGGAGAGACATTTTCATTTAAATATTCTCTTTGTACGTTCGGCCCCTCTGTATTACAACCCGTTATATAAATTTTTACTGAAATTAATCCGGACGCGTGCGCGCGGGCAGGCGGGCAGGGACGCAGGTGCGTGAGCCGCAATGAGCTCGCCCGTTGAAAAGTAAAAAAAGACCGAGCAATTTTCGGGGATTCGCACTCGTGTTTGCGCGTCAGGCAGTTTCTGCAGCTCACAAATAATAAAGTATCCGCGCGCGATAACCAACGTCACATATTATTACGTTTCGCATTTATTAACGTTTATTAAATGCGTAATTGTTAGCGCATACACAGCGGTATAAATAATAGAGTTTGTAATTACGCGAAAAGATATCGCGATGCAGCCTCAGATAGCGCCATGAATATTAATGCTAACGCGAAATACACAATTCATAATTATACGAGTGTGTTATTATACCCGCGCCCGTGCCGGCAGGAGAAAGACACGAAACAGACTCTCTTTTCTCTCCGCAAAATATATTTGGAATTAAAGCTTCAACCACACAGACGCGCGCGCGAAACTTCGAGCCTCTCATCGAGAGTCGCGAGTTAATTCTTCCTCTCGACGAATACATAAATAAGACACATCGTTGCGCGTTAAGCGATCGTCCCGAGCGATCGTTCCAACAGAAGCTTAATTCAGGATGTAATTGCGAAGGAAGTTTAATATCGAGAGATAAACGCTGCCGAGAGCTATTATGTCCATTGAAATTCTCGCCGAGAGCAATTAACCGCGCCTCGCGGTCGGCGAACGATGAGAAGAATTATGACGGTTCACGGACATTTTATTTGATTAAGCCGCACGAGGAAACACCTCTCGCGCGGCTTACGTAACGATATCTCGCAGGTGCTTCGGCGCTTAATCTTCCAGGGCGCGTTTCGGGCCCGGATGAAGATGTCCGAGGCGCGACGCGCGGGAAATCCACGCGGGCGCATTCCAGCGGGAAGGAGGCGGGACGAGGGAGGGAGGGGGGGGGGTATCTCGAGATACTAATTTCGCAGTGCTTACGCCTCATTTCCGGCGCGTCGCTAATTAGGCATCGCTAGTGCTGACGTCCTCTCTCTCTCTCTCTCTTTCTCTCTTTTCGCCTTTCTCCCCCCCCTCCTCGCGAGGAGGCAATTATGCGAACGACGACAACTGCGACGGCGACTTACGCGGGGGATCACCCGCGTAACTTTCTTCTTGGCTTCTCCCCTGTTCTCGATACGCACGGAGACGGTCGTGAGGAGATTGCCGTCGGAAAAAGAGACACGTGTGTGTGTGTGTGTATATATTTTCGCGATATAATGAATTTCTCTCTCTCTCTCTCTCTCTCTCTCTCCTTTTCTGCCTGGGAAAGAGGGCGGACTCGCATCTCATTTGGACGGAAAACGGCGCGCACTCTCAGAAACGGGCATTGTGTAATTGTATCTCCTGCCCAGCCGGAGAAAGAGTTCCGGGGGCGCATGCATGGAAGTTATAAAACCGAGATAACGAAGTCGGTTATTAAATAGACGTCAGGTAGCCATTGTTAATCTTTTGATCCTCCGTAACAGCTATTACGGCCTGCGCCGTAGAGAGGCTCTTATTACAATCGTTTTCTTTTTTCTTCTTTGGAATACCGCCTCCGCCTCCCTGTAATACCAGAAGCGCGGGCGATGGCTTGGACGTAATAACCCAACATCGCCATGTGGATTATTGTAAACGGAAACGTCCCATTACGGCCAGATGTTCGCGAGATTTGTTTGAGAATTATCGATCGTCGGGCGCGACGTAGTCCCGATCGTGCAAGATAAATGACGGCGCTTGCAGAGAGAGAGAGAGAGAGAGATATATATCCCAAATCAAAAATCGTCGACAGGGCTCTGGCGCCTTTTAATTAAATAAATATTAGGTGTTTCGATTAGTTTTGAGGGATTTCTTGCAAAAGAAACACGTTTATTTTTGAGAGACGTTGAATTATATTTTATCCCAAATATTTTCCATCGCTAGCCATAACTTTTTCCCACTTTTCGGGCAACAAGTGAATTCCGCGATAAAAGAAATATCCGTCCTTCGAAGCAACCTACTAATCGAGTTATTTTTCTATTCCTTCATGTGATTGAAATGCTGGTCAACAAAGCTGTGCTGCATAGATCGAAATAAGTGGCAATCAGAAGGAGTACAGTTTGATGAATACGCGGCGTGTGGTAGGACCTCTCATTGAAGCACCTATAATGTATCCTTAATTGTTCTTGCAACGTGTGGTCGAGCATCGTCGTGCAACAAAATCACTTTGCATTTTTTTCGAGCTATTACTGCACGTTTTTGGTTTAAAACATGATTCAAATCGATTAATTGTTGTCGAT